AAAAAAAATAAATAAAACTACAAGAGAGAATGACAAGGCCAGAGATATAGCTCAGAGACACACTGCCTGCCTAGCAAGGGCAAGGTCCTGAGTTCGCTTCCTAGTACCAAAAAGAGAGAGAAAGAATAACAAGTAGACTGAGTTAAACTTCATCAGCACAACTGCTAGAAGAAAAGAGAGCACGGTTATCACTGCTGAGGGAAAACGTGAACCAAGAATCAGTACTCAAGAGTGACAACAGAATAAGGATCTTTTTAAGCAATACAAAGACTAGGATATTAAGACAGAGCCATTGTGGGATTCATGTTAGAAGGGAGAAGGGCAGGGATATAAGACATAATGGTGAACAAAGAAATTCGTAAAATGTGTAAATAATCATTGGCCATAAAATTTTTTTAAAATTTTACTTTAAAGCAATTTGGAACAAAGTTTCAGACAGTAAAAATATAAGGTGTGATTGAAATATACTGTGATGTTTACATTTTTTAAATGGGGCTGGGGATATAGCTCAGTGACACAAGCACCTGCCTGGCAAAAGCAAGGTCCTGAGTTCAATTCCCAGTACTAAAATTAGGGCTGGGGCTTTAGCTCAGCGGCACAGCACCTGCCTGGCAAGCACGAGGTCGTGAGTTCAATTCCCGGTAATGGAAAAAAAAAAACTAAAATTAATAAATAATAGCAATAATAATAGAATGTACTAGGTTTGCAATAAAAGACACATTGCCCTTAATTTCCTCAAAGTATTGCCCTTCATTTCAAATACACTTTAGCACACCAATCTTGGTACTTGCTGAAGCAGTTCTGGAAGTCCTCTTTCCTGAATGTCTTTAAAAAGTGTGATAAAAAAGAAAAAATACTGTGAATGCTTCTGCCAAATGCCATCCAACAGAAAGATCTGCTTGTGAAAACATTACGGTGTGTATCCATGCACCTTATTCACTAGATTTAGCACAGTGCAACTTCTGGCTCTTCCTCAACATAAAAATGACCATATAAGGTGAATGTTTTGAATCAATTCAGGACATTGATACAACCATGATAATGTAACTAGAGGCACAGAAAAGGACTTCCTTCCAGAACTGCTTCATAAATTGGCAAGAACAATGGGATAAGTGTGTTCTAAGGGGCGTGGTATTTGAAGTAGGGTTAATAACTATGTATTTTCTCATATTACCAGATATAGGTATAGACTGATCAAACAATTAAACATTAACTGTTCCTTTCAATAAACCAATAGGAATTAGTAGTACAATTATCTTAGCTATGTTGTATGTGAATATATATGTAATATATACATTATATATATTATTACATATATAACATATATTATTACGTATTATATATGCAATATGTTATATATAACAATATGTAATATAGCAACCATTGTTAATTTCTTATCACCTTGTTTTGAAATTCTGTATTGTTTTTATTGTTTTTTGTTATTTTGTTTTTGTTTTTTTGGGTTATTGGGTTTTTCTCTCTTTAAAATAAAATTTTTTAAAAATGAGGATGTGCCCAGTTTCAGAAGGAGCAAACTGTGTAAAATTGCACATCTCAGCACCTGCGGAACAGGCTATGCTGAGATCGGTGGTTCCCAGCAGTCTTTGGAGTACATCTTATATCCTTAAAAGTTACTAAGACTACCATACTACCAGTTAAAACCAAGAAATTTAGAAGTATTTATACATCAAGATAGCAGCAGCAAACTCATTTTCAAAATAAAAGTTTATAACACTGACATGTGCAAACTGTTTCACCCCCTGGCTATTACATACATTTAGTCTATGCTGTTTTCACTGAACAAATATTTATAATTACAACCTCCAGAAACCATGCAGTGGGAAGCAGAAGCAGCATTTCGACTGGGCTTCTCATTTTACACCAAAACTCAGAGATTTTTTGAAGTGTAATTACAACATGGAATAAAAAATATCATTGACATTTTCAAAAAAAAGTGAGGACATGTCATTTTCATGAGAATTTCCCTTCTCTTCCTAGTTCACTGAGAGTTTCTTTTCTCCCATGAATGGATGTTAGACTTATCAAGTAGTTTTCCTACATCAGTTGACATGATCATATAATCACTAATTTGTTCCTGACCTATTTATATGGATTATAATGGTTGAGTTTTCAAATGTTGAAGCAGTCTTTTATACCTGGAATAAATTCTAATTGGATGTAGCATATGATTAATTTTGTACATTGTTGTATTCAATTTACTAACATGTTACTGATTTTTCGCATCCATGTCTATGAGAGACATTGGCCTGTAGCAGGATTTCTTATAATGTCTTTATCTGGCTTTGGTATTAGGGAAATAACCACATCCACTTAGTTAGAAAATGTTCCCTTTGCATCTATTTTCTAGAAGAGATTGAGTAAAGTTTGTATTATTTCTTCCTGAGATATTTGGAACTCACAGGTGAAATCATTTGGGCCTACTTCTTTCTTTTTTCAAATATAATTATTTTGTATAATTTCTTTAATAAATATAGATCTATTCAGATAAAAATGGCTATGTATCTTTTATTGTACATTTTAAAAAGTTTAAATATTCACTCTGTCAATTATACTTGATATAGGTATGGGAAGGCAAAGTTTGAAGGAAATTCAAAACATACTAAAGAAAGGTGATCAATCTAACAGAAAATAGACAAAGGGAAATACTTAAGTTAGATGTGCAGTAAATATAAACTATAAAATATGATGTTAAAGAATTATATCAGTAATTTGGAATTGAAAGTTAAAGTCTAGATTGAATCAAAAACACCCAAGTATGAGTTGTTTGTAAGAGACACAAAAAGAAGAAGACACACATACACAAAGATGAAAAAGAATGGCATAAAAGGATATTCCAGGTAAGTACTAACTACATCTTGCATTATTAATTAGAGCAGAATTTAAAGCAAAATCTTTTAGCAGAAAAAAGGAAAGATATCATAATGAAAAAGGAACTAACAAAAACCCCGTCATGTGCTGTTATTTAACAAGGTTTTATTACCATCTCAATACTGTATGCAAAAATTTGATTCCAAGGAACAGTGTGCAGTCTATCCAAGAATACATGGAACAATTGCAAGAATACAAAGGAAGGCTTGACAAATTACAGTATTCTAAATAGCTAACTTTAAATGAACCACAGTATAAAATGAAAAGGTAGCCAAAAAAACACCTCTATTCATTTGGAAAATTTTTTTTTAAATCTTCTAAATAACCAATGGAGTAAGTAGTGTGTGGATCTACAATCCCTAACCACAACTCCAAGATTCAAATGCTTTGAGGATCCTGACCTAATTGTTTTTTATAATTTCTTGTTCCTTGTTCGTGTTTTCAGTATATCTTATTTCTTTAAATACCTTAAACACCTCCCTTTATATTTGATATTTTATATGTTCAAGTTCCAAAAACCTTGGTAGCTGCCTTCCCATTTTGTTTCTGATGTCTGTCATTATCAGGCTTGTTCCCATTCCATCTTTATAAATTTGGGCTGTGACTTAATGTTTGGTCCAATTTAATCTGTCAAAATCATAAGAGCTTGAACTTAGGATGGGCTCCTTTAGAGCAGGAATTGGCAGACTTCTTTTGTAAAGGGCCAGAGAGTAAATATGTTAGGCTTTGAGGACTTTATAAGGTCCCTGGTACAACTAACAGTCATAAATAATATGCAAATAAATAAGCATGGCTGTGTTCCAGTTAAAAAAAATGAGTTGCATTTAGCTCTTAGTAGGAACTTTTCTGAATAGAGTACTGTACTGCTGGAAGCAGAACCCTGATTTTTCTTTAAATAACACTTTTGTAAGCATCAAAATCAGGGTGGCAGTGCTGATTAATAATCATAAATAACCTGTCAGGTGCAACTGCATGAGGAGGCAATAAGAAATGTGTCTGTATGATATGCTCCAAGTAGATTCATTTGTGTATGTAAAAAAAGTCTCTGAACTGGAGTGAAGTTTTCATAAACTCACTAACCACTGCCAGCCAAATTCTCACTTCTTCCAATAGTTCCTACTTTCAATAATAGTACCACTTTCTCCAAATTAAGCCAAAATCTGGGGTCTTCTTTGACCTTTTATTCTTAACCTGCTTTATTAACTGATCACCAAGCCCTGTTCATTCTACCTCCCAAATAGCTAAATATAAACCTTTTTCTCCAACTGATCTCAGTTGCATAGCTTCATTATCTTTTCTCAACCAGTTATACTCAACTGCCAAGGATGAAAGACCCACCCTTCTTAGTTTAAACAAAACTTACTCAAGTCCTAATGTATAAAACAAGAAAAAATAAATAGATAAACACATGCCCCAGTAGAAGAGGGGGAATATAATTCAGAGCCCAATGTATACATTCTCAGTTACACTGTTTGAGATGGTTCTCAAGATCCTCCAAGGAACTTTAGGATAACTTATTAAAAACAAATGCCCTTTATTATTGACTAGGTCTAAATTTTTCCAAATCTTTACATTTTATTATGCCTCTTCCTTCTCAGCACTACATTCTATCCATCTAAGTTATTCTTCACTCCTCTAGAAGAATGTTTTTTCAAAATGAAAATGTAATTATGAACTGACATCCTCAAACATGATGTTTGAGTATGTACTTAGGTTAGTTAATTGTACAAAATATATTTTAAACTTCTTTGTACCAAATTACTCAGGAGCAAAACTAAAAGTAAAAGAAGAATAAGGAAAATATTTAAAACATATACACCAGAAAGCTATTCATACAAATGATCTATAAGGGTTTTTTTTTTATAAGAAGCCCAACTTTTTTCTAAGCAAGCAAAGTAGAAAAAGGACAAATAGGAAATTTCTAAAAGAAGAACTACAAATTACTAGGAATCATTTAAAAATAATTACAAAATAAAACAATGAAGAAATAGTTCATTACACCTATTATGATAGATTTTGCAAGGTACAATGCCCAGTATGAGCAAACTATAAAAAGACAGAAGTCTCCCATTACTGAGACTGGGAGGATAATTTGGTAAAATCTTCCTAAAGATAACTACCAAAAGGCATGAAAAATGGGCTTATAATTAACTTTCATATTCAACTTTAAGGACATTATCCTATGGAATATTTAGATTGTAAGTAATGTGCAATTACATTTTTTACAACATTATAGAAAACTAGAAGCCATCTAAATATTCAACAGGAGATTGAAGATTTAACCTTTCACTAGGATGAAATAAAAATTTGTTGTTTGGGAATATTTAAAATCATAAGGAAATCTTCATCACTTACTGTTTGATGTAAAGAAGTTCATATAATATATACAATGTCAACTTTATGAAAATGTGTGTATATTTCAAGTATAAATTTTTGTATACACTGTATGTGTATTGAAATGAAGTTAACAGAAAGTTTCATTCCCTATGGAAGTCAGAGTAAATTTTGTAGATCCTGTTTTTCTTATCTTCTTACAATTACTGTACTAAGCATGTATTTCAGTAATGAGTAGAAAATACATTTTTGGTCACCTATACAGGAAACTCTCACAACTCCCACTCCCTCCTTTTGAAAGCCTCTGTACTTTCCTTTGTGGTCTTCATCACCTTCCTTATTTCTTTTATGTCAGTCTTCCTACAAGACTCTTAAGTTTTGTGAAAGTAGGTTTATGCATCTTTGGTTCTATATCTTCAGTGCCTAGAATAGTATCTGGCACGTAATGGTGCCCAGCGTTTACTGAGTTGAACTAAATTCCAAAATACTAGACATTAGACATTTAATTCTAATTTATCTTTCTATAAAAAGTGAGATTATCACAAAATAAGAATAAAAAGCATAGCTGGGGTTTGAATATGATTTTAGTAACTCACAAAGTGCAAAAAATTTACATATGGTAACTGTTTTGTGATACATCAATAAATTTAAAATTGACAACACAGTGAAGATTACATATGTGCTCAGTTTTACTTGAGTAGAATTTAAAAGTATCCTATTCAAATAAAGGAAGATAAAATAGAAATTTCTTCATATAGCATCACAAAAAGAAGACAAAGCTATGACAAACTGTAATAAATTCATTAATTCAAACAATTTTTATTAGAACTAATGGAGCTCCAGATATCTGGTAGACTTATTTTCCATTTGTATAAATATGAAACCATATGATATCATAATATCAAAGCATTCAGAAAACAAAAGTTTTGCAAAGTTGAGAAGTAGTTCACCAAATACACAGGAAAAGTTGGATATTCTCTCCTCTGTGGTATTTTGTTTCTGCTTCTGTCATAACATTTACCCCACTAAGCCATAATATATCACTTTTCATTTGTGTGATTTTCCCACTACATTCTGAGCCTTATATTTTACTAACCCTATCACCTAGCATATAAAACACTTTCAATAACACCAGATAAAGGAACAAATGAACAACTACTAAAATTTCTCTGGAAAATAAATAACTCAAAAATCATATTTAGTGAAGTAAAACATAAAAAAAAAAACAATGCATTACCTCTCTGGGATCATATTCCTCCCACCGTTCCCACTTTGTTCAACTTTGTCCGGCAAGCTGGCATTTGTTACTTTGGTAGGGGAGATGGTTTGTCTATCTTGAAGTCTCTTGGCTGATGAGATGTCTGTAGAATGAAATACAATGGAGATCACTTGTAACTTTCAAACCACTAAGTGCATAGTTTTTACTTAACACAGATAAACTGATAATTCTTACCAAGGTAAATCACATAAGATATACTATCTTATCTCTAAATAGTTGTCTCTTGTTTTACTGAGGTTTTTTTAAAAATTATTTTACTGCATATGTCTGAAGACCACTGTGGTGGGCATGGAGAGGAAACAAAGAGGCAAGTATTTGCCCTTAAATGTATTTCAATAGATGTAGAGAAAAAACAGACATAAAAAAAATGAGAGGTCCCACTTGTGGAGGCCTTATTGCATGCCAACAGAGCCAACTGCTTTAGGTATATTGTATAGTGTCTTAGAGCAATGATGCCACAAATCTAAATCCTCAAACAGTAGCTCATTCTTTTAGGGTCTGACATGTTCAGAAAAAAAAAGAGAAGCCACTTCAGAATCTGGCAATAAAAGAAGTTTTCAGGCCGGGCGAGGTGGCACATGCCTGTAATCGCAGCACTTGGGAGGCTGAGGCAGGAGGATCATTGCAAGTTCAAGGCCAGCCTGAGCTACAAAGTAAGATCAAGGCCAGCCTGGACTGCATAGTGAGACCCTGTCTCAAAATGACAAAAAATAAAAAGTAAAATAAATAAATAAATAAAGTTTTCATGGAGAAAGTCAAATGTGGAAAGGCTGTTAAGAGGTTAGCAGGATTGAGACAGACTGAAAGAAAATGATGAGCCATTCAGGATTAAGAAAAAGAGTAAACTAAAGGATGAAGATGAGGAAGAGGGAGCCATGTTAGAACATAAATAAATTCTATCCAAAGAAGAAGTCTCTCCAGAAAACAGTGATTAAAGAGATGAAACTTCATAAATATTAAACTAAAAATTTACAAGTGCTCCGGCAGGTCATACATCAAAAACTGACATCTACAAGCCAACACTGACCTGTATTTTAAATGCATTTTAACATTTTTTGGTGGGGGAATCACCAAAAAATTTGTTTGTTAGTAATCTGTCAGTTTTCCATCAAAGTCAGCATTTCTTAAAAAATTAGATTTGATACTACTTGGACCACACTTCCACTATCAGAATAGCAGCCTTCAATGTATGGCCTGGCAACCTCTGGGCATCCCTTGGATGCTTCCAAAATGTCTGCAGAGTTCTCAGATTTTCTTCATATGCTCCAGCCAAAACCACTTATTACAAAGATTAAATGGAGATGCAGAGAGTAGATTCCAGCTCTCTTATAAAGACATTAAAGATTAAAAAAACTGTCACACTTCATTTTCCATAAAAAATGTTATTTAAACTAACACAATTCCTAACACTTGTATAGATCCACTTCATAGACCTGGACACTATAGGCGTCTGAGTTTTGACACCTTTAAGCAGTGGGGAGCCAGTAAAGAGATTAGTGATAGTCTCAGAACCTGAGAATCACAGGATCTAAGACACATAAAGTGGTTAAGGTGAGATACAAGATCTCTTAAACAGAAGATGTTTGCTACAAAAGAGAATACAGTGATTATTCATAATTTAACTTTGTTTAATATGGTCATATGAATTGCTAAGACATATGGCTGGGCACATGAGTAGTAAAGAGTGACAGAGTATACCCTGAAACCACTGGCCTACCTCTGACACCTTCTTCTTTGTCTGAGTGGTCTTTCGCCTTATATTTCCCATGTCTGTTCCCTTCGCCTTCTTCTGCAATGGTCTCCATGGGTGGTTTGTTGTCCATATCTTTGTGCTCAATCCTATGAAAAGTCAAAATGTTTGTCTACTGCACTAGACCTGAGCACATGACTGTGTGAACTCTCAATTCTAGAAAGCAACCCAGCCAGCATGCTGGTTCTGAAATAAGTCCACTTCCTGTGGGAGAGGGTCATTCCAAGTAATTATCAAGGATTCTTTCTCTTTGAGGCCCAGTCTGGGAACCAACCAAGACACTGTACCACTCCACTGTGGGCTCAAATTCAGGCTTTATAGGAAGAAATTGCTTTGAAGGCCTCTATTTAACTTTTTGGTTTTGGCTCCGGTTTGAATGTTTCTATGTCTTTTTCTGTTTATGTAGCCAAATGCTATAGGGGGCCCCATTCCTCTCCTTTCTTCTCCACTCCACTTTCCATGCTTTTCCCAGGCAAAAGTGAAGGACCTGCAAAGGTACAATTCGGGGAGGTTGTGTTCAACCAGTATGTGCATTTGTAGGTTTTCTTTGGTCTCAGATATAGAGTATGGAACAAATTGATAGGAGGCTTCATTTCTGCAATTATTTCTCTCCAGGAATGCTTTAGGCAAAATAAGGCAAAGGGGACAGGCAAATATGCCTTTCAAAACAATCAAAATAAAAAAATTTAATCCATTGTTTTGTTTTTCATGAAAAAGGCAAGATGGTGCAATGGAAAGACCACTGGAGCAACTAAGGACCCTGCAAAAGGAGGGGATTTTTGAAAATCATAAAATTGGGCCAGGGATATGGCTCAGTGGCACAAGTGCCTGCCTTGCAAGTGCTAGGTCCTGAGTTTGATTCCCTGTACCAAAATAAATAAATTAATACATACATACATACATAAAAATAAATCATAAATTTATATGAAAACATAAAAGAACCAGAATAACCAAAGCAATCTTAAGCATAAAGACAAATGCTGGGATATCACAACACCTGAATTAAAAATATACTACAGAGCCATAGTAACAAAAACATCATGCTACTTGCACAAAACAGAGACAAATAAATGGAATAGAATAGAGAACGCAGAAATAATTTCACGAGGCTATAGCCATCTTATTCTTGACAAAGGAGTCAAAAATAATATTATTTTGCTACTGCAAAACAATAGCTTCTTTAATAAACTGGTTTTTTATCTGCAGAAGAGTGAAATTGTTTCTGGCTCTATACAAAAATCAGCTCATGATGGATCAAAGTCTTAAATATAACACCTGAAACTTTGAAACTACTATAAGAAAACAGGAGAAACACTTGAAGCCATACACACCGGCAGTGACTTCCTGAATAGGACTCTAGTAGTTCAGGAAATAATACCAAGAGTTGAAAAATGGGATTACATCAAACTAAAACATTTCTATGCAACAGAGGAAACAGCATGTGAAGAGACAACTTACAAAATGGAAAAAAATCTTTATCAGTTACTCTTCCAGTAGAGCACTAATATTAAGAATATATAAAGAACTCAAAAACACACATAAAAATCAAATAATCCAGCCAAAAAATGAGCAAATGAACTTAGCAGACACTTCTCAAAAGAATAAATACAAATGACCAATAATTATATGAAAAAAATGTCAACATCTTTAGCCATCTGGGTAATGCAAAGCAAAAATACACTGACATTTCATCTCATCCCAATCAAAATGGCTATCAAGAATGTAAAAAACAAATACTGACAAGGATATGATAAGGAAAGAATCCCTTATACACTGCTGGTGGGAATGTAAGTACAGCCACTGTGGAAATCAGTATGGATGTTCCTCAAAAAATTAAAAATAGAATTGCCATATGATCCTTAAAGAGTTAAAGTGAACAGGCTATAGGGACACCTATGCATACCCATGTTTATTGTGGCATCATTCATGATACCCAAAAAATAGAATCAGCCTAAGTGCCTATCAGTGGATAACAGGATAAAGAAAATGTGAGATAGATGATAGATAGATAGATAGATAGATAGATAGATAGATAGATAGAGATACATAAATATAGACATATGTATTATTTACTCATTGTTATGGTTTATGTCTCTGAATGTCCCCCCAAAGCCTCATGCAGCCATGGGGCAGGCTTCTAGAGTTTATGACTGATTCAGGGTCCAGTGTTGGAATTATGGATGTGAGTGCTACACTGGCCCTGGGGCAGATAGTTTGCATATAATGTAAGGGAGGGAAAGAGGCTGCTTGCCACTGCTCCTCCCCTTGTGCTCTTGTTGCTTTTGCTATCTTCTGCCACCATGAATGGTTACCTTGTGCCATGTGCCACTCTGCCTCAAAGCCAGCCAAGTGTGGACTGAAACCTCTATAAACTGTGAGCTTTCCTTCCTTAATTTTGTGTGTCAAGTATTTTGTCCCAGCAACAAGAGAAAAGTAATCAAGACACTCATGAAGAAGAACAAAATCATTTTTAGGAAAATGGATGGAACTAGAGATCATCATGTTAAGTAAAATAAGCCATACTCAGAAAGGCAAGTGCAGCATGTTTTCCCTAATATGTGGAATCTCAAAAAGATGACATGAAAGTAGAAGCAAGACAGGCAAGAGGAAGGGATGGGGGGTTGATAAAGGGGGGTGTTAAGGGAGGATAATGAAGGGATGAACATGTATAAAAATACCACAATGAAACCCAATATTTTATAAAGTAAATATATATATATATAAAGATGAAGAGTAGGACTAATGAATCTCTAAGGCTTATTCTTTCCTTCACTCTGATTCTTCTGAGGTGTGTGTCATGTTCCAAACCAACAAACACAAGAGGATGTCATAGGCTCCAAATATATGAGAAAATACTTCTCTAGGATGTTGGCTGTTATTCTCCAACTTTCCTTTATCCAAAATGCACAGTGGCTAATAGCACTGCAATTCAGATTAAGAACATAATTAAAAGCATACAGTGAGTGGGTGACAGCCAAGCTGGAAATAAAAGTCCAGCCTCTGGACCCCAATTCCAGCACTCTCAGTAGTGCACCATGCTGCTTCACTCATTTAAAAACAAGAATTAAAGTTAATTTTTCTATATATAAAATGGAGAAAATTATAACAAATCTTAAATGGTGGGAGTGAACATTAAATACAATAATAATGAAAATGCTTAATAGTAACTGGTACCTGGTAAATGCTATTGGTAATTATTAATACTGTCATTATCATTATTTTTGTCGGCAGCCTTCAGGAATACTCCCTGTACTGCTGAGGATAAAGCTGTCTGCTATTCTATCTTATCTTTTTAACCTATTTCATAATAAAAATCAAAAGTTCAGATAAGGCAGACTAGATGCAGGAAGAGAAAGAAGCTAGAACAGAGGAAGTAGAGGAAAGCCCAGTAGGAAAGAAAAGTCTTACTCTATTGCAAACTAAGGCTTCATATCCTCAGTCCAGTTTCAGAATTTCCAGGGAGTAAAGAGTAGTTTTAAAAAGAAACATTCTTTTTTTGTTGTTTCTTTTCCAATACCAGGAATCAAACTCACAACGCTGCACTTACCAGGCAAGTGCTGTGCCACTGAGCTAAATGCCCAGCCCCCCTAAAAAACATTCTAAAGAATCATTATTAACTACAGAAAGTATATGCAATAAACTCTTCTTTGCTGGTGCATTAAGAGAGACTGGAAAGAGAATGTATTAAAGGAACACGAGTTACAACAGGCTAAGAAAGGCCAGGATCAGATCAGCAGATAGGCAAGGAGAACTGAGGCCTAAGGAAACCCACAGAGCAAAGCACTCACCGTGGAAATGCAAGCATGCTTCCAGGCCGCTTCCCAAAGGCCTCCCTGGAGGACAACACAGAGTCCACAGTGCCAGGCCTCTGCAGGGCAGAGATAGAGAAGGTTACACCTGGGCTGTGACCCAGGACAGACAAATCAAGGCTACCAGGATATTTAATATGTTTAGTTTTCTCCAAAATTCAGTGAGGAAAAATTTCATTCATCAAACTAGTCATCCTGGATGGTTGTACAGCAATTCCACTGACACTGCCTTTTCTCAAACCATCTCCTCTTTGGAAATTGCCTTCAGAGCTGACAACTTCTTTCAGACAACTTTGGACAGAAAGTGCACTTCGTAAAACTATTAGAGAAATGAGCAAACTGGATGATGCCACTCTCTACCCCAGTGATTCTAAAATTAGGAAATTAAGGGAAAACCTTTGGAGTCGTGACATCTCATTCGAATCCCCACACTGCTAACCACTGTGTGACCTTAGGCACTAGATTTATGGGGCAATAATGGATCTAATTTCTAGGACTTTGTTATGGTTTGTGTCTGGATGTCCCCCCAAAGCCTCATGCAGTCATGGGGTGGACTTCTAGAGTTTGTGATTGATCCATGATCCATTGTTATGGGTGTCAGTGCTACACCTGCCCTGGGGTGGGTAGTTTGCATACAATATAGGAAGGGACAGATCCTGCTCTCTGCTGCTCTTCCCTTTTGCTTTTGCTGCTTTTGCTGTCTTCTGCTGCCATGAACTCTTGCCCTTTGCCATGTGCCACCCTGCCTTGGAGCCAGCTCATTATGGACTGAAACCTCCACAAACTGTGAGCTAAATAAACCTTTCCTTCCTTATTTCTGGGTGTCAGGTATTTTGTCTCAGCAACAAGAGAAAAGTAACTAAGACAGACTTTTATGAGGTACTTTATCTGAGTGAACACATAAAAACATTCAACATATAGCTACCATAATTTTTACACTATATAATAGCCATACTATTCCACTATTAGTATAGTATAATATAGAAAATTATTATTTTTGAACAAATACTATGGCCTACACAAAAAGTTTTGAAGGAAATTCTCAAAAGGTAGTGTTTTTTTAAAAATCAGCATTCCTGAATTAAGCACAAATTCCCAGGAGGACTATCACTTACAGCACTCACAGTAAGTCATAGGACATTTGAGAATAAAACTATCACTCCCAACACTTCACAGTGTATATAGTTAATGAGCCATTGACAAGTATTGGATTAACCTAGAGTTCCATGACTCAATACATTCAGTCAAACGAGCTGCTTTACCGCCAGATTTCTCAGCTCCTTAACTGGCTGATATGCTTTATGCCTCTGTACCTGAGGATGAGTGATACAGTCAGAAGTTCTCAATCTGCTTGGCTTCCAACCCTTCTTTCTATGCAATATCTTCTTAAAAACTAGTTCTTCAGGGAACTTTAAAAATTGTGCTAGGCACAACTTTTAAATAACATGTGTGGTGGTGGATGCCTGTAATCCTGGCACTCTGGGAGGCTGAGGTCAGATGATCAAAAATTTGAGTTTAGCCTGGGCAACTTAGCAATTTATGGAGACCCTATCTCAAAATTTTAAAAAATGCTGCATATGTAGTTCAGTGGGAAAGCCCTAAGTTGAGTCCCCAGTAATAAAAAGTTATGCTTTAGGGTTCAGCAGGCCACGTAAAATGCTATCTTGTCTTTGAAACAAGTACTGAAGATCCAAAGTTCAGCAGAATTCCTCAGGGTGAGAGACAAACAAGTCACTTTGGCCTTGCCTATGGATTTGCAATCTTGCCTTGTGTTTTCATGGAAAAACAGCTTTTCCTGTGTATGTTTCTATTTTCCACACACTGGGTTAACACTCATCTTAAAAATCCTGTATAAAGCAGGTTGTACAGAAAACACCAAAAGTCTCATTCTGTACAACCTCATCTCCTAAATGGCCACCCCAGAGCTCCATGAAAAGAGTAGAGTTAAATCTTTTTCAAAGATGTTGGGGCGTGGGGTGGGGACTGGGTCTTGCTATGTGCTTTAGGCTGGCTGCAAACTCATGACAATCCCCCTGCCTCAGCTTCCCGAGTGCTAGGATTACAGGTGTTTGACACCATGCCTGCCGCTCACAGAATTTTCATTTTAGAAAATCAGGTATTTTCTCTCTAGGATTCTGCAGTAATTCAGTTCATTCAGGTTAACTTTGTTAATTCTCTGAGGTGTACATAAGGTGCATTAAGTATTCAATAAATCCTGTTATTTTATTGCGTTCTTAACCTCTGATATGCCCACTTTAGCATGAAAGTCATGCCATCTACTTACTGATTAAAAATGATGGTGCCCAATTACAAAATTTTCCTCTATGATTCGGCAAATTAAAAGCTAAAGACATGCTGCCATGACTTAAATTAGATGTTGTTGCAGTCATTATGCAAAAACTGTGTGGTGAGAAAGTCTGGACTCGAATTACAGTACAGTAATATGGGCACCTTGACCTCAGGCTTCCCGTATAACCTCTCTGAGTTGAGTCCTCAATTTTGTCACTTGTAAAGTCAGAATGATAGGGCTAACTTTATAATGTTTTGAGACTCAAATGAAATAGTACATAATATTTTAAACTATGAAGTATTATTAAATCTTCAGAATTGTGGATTTCTAATATTGTTTATGTTCTTTAACTGGCATTGACTTAAAAGTTCCTTTGCCCTTCTCATCTTTTTGTCAGAGTTAATCATCTATAGACATTACCATGAACTTGGGGAAACTATCACTTAAAATATGGCAACCTGAGCTTCTCTTAACGACAACATAGCTGTATATGGTTCAGAGCTACAGTTGGGAAAGGGAGTAAGAGAAGGAAACCATTACATTTGCTAGGGCTTTCATCAAAGTCCCACTTCCATCCATAGTACAAAGGAAGTCTTTATAAAATTTCATCTTCACTTTGCCGTCTCTGATCAGAAGTATCCCAATTCCTTTGAATGTAAATTCCACATTTTTTTTTATGGAAATGGATCGCGATAAAAAAAGCAATGTCTCCTTAACACATCCTTCCACTGTATCCCTGGAAAATGGACTCTCCAAGGATATCATGACAAAATTAAGTGGAATAACTGGGATATCACCTAGAGAAGAAAAAGACAGATGAGGTAGGGGAAAGGAAGTGGAGATTACAACTAGGATATATCATATACACATACAAATAATTATATTAATATTTAATATTCAGAAATAGAAATATTCAAAAATAGACATTTCCATGTGAAACATTTGGTTGTAGCTAAAGTAATATCATTACTGCACACAACTAACACAACAGTATACTTTTTCCTAAATGTATTATATGGTATGCTCAAAATAAAATAATTAGCTTTCTAAACAACATTCTACAGGAAGTTTTTAGTTTTTTAGGAGACATAATAACTGCTTATTTTCACAGAGGGTTTTCTAAAGTTTTAAGCCCCTTTATCTTTTAGAACATGCTATCGCAATATTTGTGTTCTCTTCCAGTTATAAAACCACTTTCTATGATTATAACCATCTACAAATGTTTTGAAATGGAAGTAATCTTCGCAATAAGTTATTGTTCAAAAGAAATTGGGTCTTATACAAGGGTGGATGACTTGCAGGAAGCTTTTCCTGCCTAGTGAGCCCATAAAGGACATTGCAAAAAAGTAAGATTACATCTACCTTGAAGGAAGTGCAAGATCTACTTGACTAGGGGATATGTAGGAACTGTGCTAGGTCCACAAGTCAGAAAAGGGGTAAACAGCAAAGAGGATCAAGATGATAAAGCCAAGCACAGGTGATAAAGCTCAGTGGCACGGTGCCTGCCTGGCAAGCACAAGGTCCTGAGTTTAATTCCCAGGACCAGAAAGAAAAAGTGATAAAGCCAAAGAGAGATAATAAAAAGGTCCATTGATAGGACAACAAATCAGAGAAAAGATAAGAATATCCTAAACATTTACTCAGTACAAATTATAGCCTTTTAAATGCCCAATATTGCTGAATGGTGAGGGTTAATAGCTCTACAGCAAGTGAGCTTGACTATATTGTGTCTCCTACACAATTTCATAATTCTCTACTACCTCTCTACAGTTTTTCCTAATGCAATACTGGGGACTGAACCCGGGGCCTTCACACTGAGCTACATCCCCAGCCCAGTTTTTATTTTTTACTTTGATACAGGATCTCGTTAAGTTGCTAAATTGTTCAGGCTGGCCTTGAATTTGTAATCCTCCTGCCTCTGTCTCCCAAGTGCTTGAGATTACAGGCATGCACCACGGTGCTTGGCTTCTAATACAAATTTCTTAAAAATGCCATATTGCCTGCCTTTAGGTTCTCCGTCCCATTTGCCCATTGCCTTTCTACAATCTATCTTCTAGCCTACTCATCCTTACACTACCCACTTTTATGGACAAGCCAATGGACACTTTGGAAACCTCATCTTTCATGACTAATCTGTAACTTCTGTTGGCCATGCCCTCTCTCTTCTCTTGTATCCGTGACACCATTCTTTGTTCATCAGTTTCCTCAACCTCAGTCTCCTTTGTTAGCTTCCCTCCTCTTCTCCTCATAATAGTGAGGGGGTTTTATTCTAATTATTTTTATTTTTCAGGTTTAATTTGACTAAAATATACCAAAAGCTGGGGTCTGGGCTGAGAAGTTATGTCTATCCTTTCGCTTTGACCTCTGGCTCTAGAAAATGGTCAGCAAGTCTCTGCAATGCTAAGCTTCAGGGTTAGGAATCTTCTCACTAATTCAGAAAGCTGAATGACAGGTACTTACACTCTCAAAGCAGTGCAGAAATGAGTCCTCCTTTCTTGGTACTGTTTTTTAAAAATTATAAAGCCTGTGAAAATCACGGGCTTCTAGAAAAGGCAAGGAAAAAACAGTGCTGCCCAAAGCGACCTGACATAGATACCCCACCCCTGCAGTGATGGTGCTGCCAGCATGAGGCTGATTTAGGAGGAAATGGCCACGTAGGACCAAGGATACTGACCCTATCCACACCCCAGCTCCCTCACAACCTCGCACTGTTTCTCAGAAATAATTCCTTCAGTTTGATCAGAGGCACTTGTATAAAATGCCAGACACAGCACTAAGGGTTTCATTGTTCATATTTTCATTTGTTTATAGTATTTTGTCCTGATCTTTGTCTTCCTTGTATCCTCTCTGGGACAAGTTTATTCAAGTCTTGAACACTAGTCTCCACCTTTCTCCCAAGTGCTAGAATCACATCTAAATGTCCCTACAAGAGCCTCAAATCCAGCATGTCCAAAAGAAAATCATTATTTTATCCACCACAACCATCTGTCTTTCCCTTCACTCTTCCTGGCAGTTAATGTCTTAGACATCCAATGAACATCTGTCTGTTTTCCAACCAAAAAATGCATTTAATTATAGCTAATATTAACTGTAATTCTCCCACCCAGAGACACAAATAAAATTTCTTTTCTTAATAATACTTTTAACTTCTCAGGATCTGAAACACAAATAAGAGTCTGTACAGGTCTATGGCATGGCATCAGCTCTTCTCATGACTGCCTCTTAAAGTCTAGGGTTTAAAATGGCCTGCAGAAAGACTTATTTTCCCATCCTGGCCCCTCCCTCTGCCAATATTAGTGAAATATTAGTGAAATATTAGTCCCTCAAACCAGAAATTAAGAAGAAGCTCCAACCAATTTTGCCTTATCATTTTTATCCCCAGGGTAGTAAATTTCTGCAAAAGTCTTAAATATTCAAATTACCAGGCGAATACACTTTGTTTTGTTTGAGTCCATGGATTTGCACCAACTTCTCAGCCATGATGAACACAGGCCTCTGGATTAGAATAAACTTGTTGTTTCCCACCTCAAGCTTTTGTCTTGTGAAAGTAAAAGTTCCAAGTCCTGGAATTTGAACCCCCTGAAAGGAAAAAGAAAAAAAAAGAAAGCAACAAACATAATTCATTAAAAAAATGAAAAGGAATTTTTCATACTGTTATCCAAAAAACATGAAAAGATTTTGACTTTATTCCTTAAAAAATCAATGATCTCTATAGCCCTTTATAATTATAGCATTTTATGACTCTAAATTTTGAAATAAATTTAGAATAAAATGTAATACACGCTTTACAGATATCAGATTCCACATTTATACATCATTAAAAGACTATGAGGCCTATGAAAACTAACATGGATGTCACAGCTTTTAAAATCTATTATCTAAGATTTTTCTCATCCTAAATTGTGTGATATTTTAATCACTTGGCACTTAATGGGGCATGAGAAACCCGGTTTTCTTATTTTTTTTTTTTTCAGATCTTATGTCCCCCAACTTAATATCAGGTGGACCAACTTCACAAGCACATGCTACAGTGCACTAATCTTGATAATTGTTAGATGCAAATGCTTTTGGCTCTGAACCCTGGTTCTGTCACCCTGGAGATATTGTACATCAAAGGGTTACAAATTCAAATGCCTATTGGAGCCAAGAAAGAATGCAAGAGACTGAAGTTAACTAGCCAGACCATGATGATTAAAGAGTACACATTCATACAAAGAGGAGAACCATAGTGAACTACAGCCAATTGTCACAGGCAAAAATAGAAGGCTGTACTTGGTAGGTCTGCTGATTTTTCAAGAAAAGGGCAGGGGAGGGCTAGCTTTCTGCCTGGTAGGCCCCCGGAGGGAGGGCCCCCGGCGCACGTGGAGCCATGCGGCAGCGAGCGCTGTTGCGGGCCAGCCCTTAGGCCAGCAGCCGCCGCTCAATTGAGAACTATCAAGACACAGAGAAACAGTGACACAATTGGCCCACCATGCACCGGCTGCAGATGCTCACCCTGGGACGTGTGTGAAACATTCAAATGGAAAAACCCCTGGGAATGCATGCCATACAACGGGTTACTCTTGCTCCTGCCATTGAGAAACAGAAAGGTCCAGAGTCAGCAGAGGAGCAGCTGCTAAACAAGGACTCAGAGAACATGAGAATGCAAACTAAGCCCAAGGAGTCAGAGGTCCTGTGGACTCGGGTCATGAGAGCCACTTGGAAGCTGTAAACCAGGAGGACCGTGCACAGTACCTGCAGAGACTCCCTGGAAGCCATTCTTCCCCTGACAGTACAGGTTGTAGTGGAGCTCCGGAGAAGTCTACAGCAGGATTCCTTCTGCCTGTGCTGACAGTTGGGGAGAGGATACTAACTAATTGTGGGGTCCCAATGCGATGGGAGGCTGGAGAGAAAACGCTACAAAAAATGGCTTTCGCCGCAGATGGCTCACTTGATTTTTGACAACTCTTAGGCTGTAACTACTTGTTAGATCCTTCTTGTGTATCTCTGTCTTCCTGAGAAACCACTTTGAAGATACCACCATGTATTACAGCAGTCATTGTTATTTTCCTAGAAATCTATCCATAACTCTGTAATGTTTGTATTGTTCCTATCCTATTTCATAAATGGATCCATGTTTATTATTATGTGTTTCCTACAACTATTGAGAATTATTGAATGATTATTCAATAGGTCACTCATGCGTAGTTCTATTTATATTCTTTAGAAGCCACTTTGAAGATACCTAAGTATAATACAACAACTATTGATAATCTCGTACCTCTTTTGTCTGTAACTGAATATTATTTGTCTGTTTCCCTGAGAAACTATCTTGTAGATAACAATATGTAAAACAATAACCATTGATAATCTCCTACCACTTTGTCTGTAATTTGGTAAGCCCCCCCTATTATTATGTTATCCTTCTTTTACTCTTTAAAATAATAAAAAAAAAAAAAAAGAAAAGGGCAGGGGAGATGCAAACTTTTACATAGACTCAAGTGTCTATGTAAGTGGTGATAACTAATTCAAATTCTCAAATCAAATAAAACATATTTAAAGGTTGAATTCAGTCTAAGTAGTAGGAACTTGGAGTGGGGTACTAAGTTCCATATCCTCCTAGTTCTCTCTAAGCTCCTCCCAAAATCTGTCCAGCTCTATGGTATCCAAACCCAATACCTCATAAGGGGAAATAGTCCATTCTGAGCAAAGTTTCTTATTTTTGGCAGTTTTTCCCTATTTTCATGGATTTCAACTAAAAACCATTCTCTGCAAAGAGGCAAAACAAGAAGCATGATACTGTTCTATAGTTATGCCAGGAAATATCAAAACAGAGAAAAACAGGACTCATCTAGTTACTTTACACAAACCCAGGATGATCAGCACTACAGTAGAAAAACAGAACTTATAAAGTCTTCATCTAGGAAATATTCCACTTTTCTTACACTTACTTTCCACAAGCCCAAAGTATGAACAGTACAAAATTGAGTCAAACTACATGGCTCTAAAGTCTTACACTCCTTCCAAAAAATTATACAAGACTATACAAAAAAATTCTTTGGACTATTGTGTCAAAAGTAAAGAATACATCCTACCTTATGCAAGGTTAGCTGTCGTTCCACAAATTCTGAGACATTTCCCCAGATAGTAGAGACTTCTGAAATCCAAAGGAAACCAAAATGATATATGTGAGCACCTATGTTAGTATCCTCGTGCTAATAAAGAAGAATGTAAATATGAAGTACAGAATCAAGTGACAGTAATTCCTAATTTAGCATTAGAAGAAAACAATCATGCAAAAGTTACTTTGCCTGATAAACTACAGCTTATCCCTTAAAGTTCCAAATTTGTGATTTTAATAAAAACAATAATGCATTTTTAAGAAAACCTTTCTAGAATAAAGAGAACTCAGTCACACATTTCCTTTATCTTGGAGTTAACAAAATATAACCATATAACCTAGCTTTTCCTTAACAACCCATTAAGGTATCTATTCTGTGCCTTCTAAATATTATGAACATTCATTCTTATACCATTCTATATAATGTAAGAATAAGGTCAAGGGCCACTAAGGTAAGACTTAAAATGTTATCATCTATACATTAAGTGTCCCAACATTTCTGCTTTTGCTAAATTCATCCATATTCTCCCTCTTTCTCTTTGTCTCTCTCTCTCTCTCTTTCTTTCTCTCTCTCTTAATCTCTATCATCTGTCTGTATGTCTGTCTCTATGGGGCACTCTACCATTAAGTTACTTCCTCACCCCTTTTTCGAATATTATTTTGAGATAGACCTTGTTAAGTTACTCAGGTTGGCCTCACACTTGTAATCCTCCTAATGTGGCCTCCTGTGTAGTTGAGATTACAAACATACACCACCGTACAACTAATATTTAGAAATATACAGAACTGTGTCTGGGTCAACATCGCCATTCCACACTAAACAGTGTGTTTATTAAAGATACTTTCCAGTTAGAAACACTTTGCAAATCAAGTGTTAAGTTTTAATTTTCAAAATAAAAGCTCAAGGAAGGTGAAATTCACTAGGATGCCACTTTGGAACACTGATGAAGTTGGTGGCAAAGGTCCAATTCTTCCCCCACTTTGTAAACTGCTTGATTTATTGGTATTATTTTTTCCCTAATGGTTTAAGCTACTAACAAGAGCAGGGACATTACAATCATTTAACTCTGACATAGAAGGGTTGCAAACATTTTTATTACAATGTCAGGGGAAAGGCAGGTTCAGTGAATAAGAAGTAGCAGTTATTCTCCTGAGCATCTAGGACAACTTTGATGATGAAACTCACTTAACACTAGTGAAACTAGGACTGCCTGCCCCAGTGAGAAGAGAGACCAAGATCCTGCCCCCCTCACTCTAAATCATGGGTGTATACTTTCTGAAACCAAGGGTTGCCCCTCCTCTGCTCCATCCTACTGCATTCTATATTCCTCCCTTCTATAAGCCAAAAAAAATTTTATTGTTAGCTGCCAAAATACTGGGGTATTAAACCAGACTCAACTGTATACTGGGTTGCAATTTTCATAATGACCAAAAATATCATAAATTCACTATTAAAAATTTTGGTATTCAGATTTACATAAAAATTTTCAAAGTCATTAAGTTCAAATTGTTAAAGTTTATGACTAAATGTCTTTCGCTAGACATGACATACAGCTCAGATTTCAGAAAAACAATCCACACCAAAGGAAATGTTTTAATTAGGGCCAGGAGAAACTGTATACTTTCAACCAAGCCCTAATGAAAAGACTTGGCCAAGCTTAACTGGAAACTGGAGAATAGCTTTTCTTCATTTGTATAAGATATTTAAGTCTACTGTAATGCTCTACTCCATAAAGTATGATAGGCAAAAGGATAATTATTTAAACTGATATTTGCTATTTCTTACTGAAGAAAAAGGAAAACATGCCTATAGATCCCATTGGGAAGGTTTTGGTCCCTAGAATTCAGTTGTAATACACTCATATGTGATTTCTAGATGATTTGCTCTTAAATTCTTATTTTTCAGGAGGATATTACTAAATCTCAAAATGAAAATAATTTCAATATAGTCTAAAAAATAAATAATTTTTACTATTCAGGAAGACATTCCTAATCCCAAAATGAAAAGAATTTCACTACAGTCTAAAAGAAATAAATAATATTCTACTTTTCTAATTTAAGGGAAGCTAGTTACTTATTTTAATCAAACACTAAAATGCCAACAACCACTACTATAATTTCACTTTGAATTCCAAACATTCCATAAACTCAAAACCTTAATCTCAAGCACAATGCCAAGCATCAGGAATACTGTGCTTTATATGTATGATCATTATCAAAAAGCATTAAGTTGGGCTAAGCTCAGCGGCACAAGTGCCTGCCTGGCAAGGGCAAGGTTATGAGTTCAATTCCTGATACAAAAAAAAAAGAAAGTAAAAGACATCTCAGAAAAAAAGCACTAAGTGTCCATTATGTAAATTATAAAATGTTTGAAATACATATTAATATCAAAAATAATAAATTACATACCTTGTAAATACTTGTAAAATTAAAATATTGAGAAAAACAGTAGAATTTTAAAGGGTGGTTGAATAAAGAAAGATCTGTTTCACAGCTCAGGGCAATGGAAAGAGCAATACCCTGATGATTAGATCAGCAGCCTTCCTGCCTCCAATGCACTCAATAGTTTCACTCGGTTCACATCTCTATAATAATGCCGGGAGTTTCTAGGCACTATAGGTATAGAACATTAAACCTGGTGAAACAGAAGCAGTTGGAATCTACAATAATGAACATATCCAAGAATGACAGTTCATTTTTTTATTTCACTAAGGTTTAGATTTTTGTCTTCATCTTCTTTACAATAAGTCTTTTGCAAAAGCTAATACAGAGTAATTTGACTTCAATTTCTGCCATTCATCAAATAAGCCCTTGCTGAAATCACCAGTGGATATCTGATCAATAAATTTAATGACCATGTTGAATTTTTGTGTCTCTTGAGCTTTCAATCAGATCTGGCCTGGGCTGGGGATTTAGCTCAGCGGCAAAAGCGCCTGCCTGGCAAGCGCAAGGTCGTGAGTTCGGTTCCTGGTACCGGAGAAAAACCAAAAAAAAAGAATTAAAAAAAAAAAAAAATCAGATCTGGCCTTGTTGATCACTCCTTCCTTTAAAGACCTCTCCTTTGGTTTATGACACTATTCTCTCCTGGGTTTATCCTACCAGTGTCCTTCATAGGCACATCTTCCTCAAGTAAGTTCCAGGATGCCTTCTTTTTTTACTCTGTACTCTCTGCTTACTCAGTCAGCTATGTTCTATATGATTGCCAAATGTTTATTTATAAGCCTAGATTTTCCCACCCATCTTTGAAGTTCTGTACCTATGCTTCCAACTACCTATCTCACAAAGGACTTTCAATTTGCCCAAAATCAGTATCATAATCTGTAAAAATCTACTTTACATAAAAATACATAAAGATTAAATGTCAGTGCATAGAGAAAAATAGACCATGCTAGTACTAATCAAAGCAGGGGTAAGTACACAAAGAAAACTTCAAAGAAAGTTACCAGGAATAAAGGAATAGGCTGGGGATATAGCTCAATGGCACAGCGCCTGCCTGACAAGCACAAGCTCCTGAGTTCAATTGCTGGTACAGGAATAAATAAATAATGAATTCATCTATTGTTCCTTGCAGTTCAATTAGTTTTTGCCTCATGTAATTTGATATCCTTTTGTTAGGCACATACATATTAAGACCTGTTATATCTACCTAGAAAATTGATTCCTTTATCTTTATGTAATGTCCTTCTTTATTGTTGTTGGAAATCAAACACTGGAACTTTGTGAAATGATACCAGCAGAAGTGAAAAAACAACTGGAAAAGGCTATGGAGAAAATAATCTCTCAGGTACAGAAAGAAATGAAGCTTAAAGTCAAAGATATTAGAGGAGATACAGATAAAAGAGTAGGTGAGCTTAGAAAAATGATGGAAACAAATAATGCCAAGCATAAAAAAGAAGGAATGCATCAAACAGATCCAAACAAAAATCCAAGAGATTAAACTCTCCATTGAAAGTGTATGCAACAGGTTGAATGAAGGAGAAGATAGGATTTCAGGTCTGGAAGATAGAATTACAGACAGTGATAATGAAAAGAAAGATATCTTAAAATTAGCAAGAGACCAGAAAAATCAATTCAACAGCTACAAGAGGAAGCAAAGAAAAATAACATAAGATGGATTGGGGTCAATGAAAAAGCTGGAGACAACACAAATGACATAAAAATATCTTCACAGAAATAGAGGCAGAAAACTTCCCAAGTATGGAAAAAGAATTTGACATGCAAATAAATGAAGCATTTAGAACTCCAAACACTCATGACCAAAATAAAACTACACCAAGACATATAATAATCAAGATTCTTCAGCACAAAAACAGAATATTAAAAGCTGTTAGAGAAAAGAAACAGATCACCTATAAAGGAGAGCCCATCAGAATCAAAGCAGACTTCTCAACACAAACCCTCAAGTCAAGAAGAGCTTGGCGTGAAGTATTTCAGGTCCTGAAAGAAAACAGCTTCCAACCCAGATTGATGTACTCTGCAAAACTATCTTTCAAAATTAATGGAGAAATAAGATCCTTCCATGACAAAGAACAACTGAAGAGATTTATGAACACCAAACCAATGCTACAAAGAGAACTAAAAGATATTCTAGACAGAGAAAAATTCACAAGTCCCGGAACAATTCTTTCAGCAGAAAGAAACCACCAGGCAGGGCAAGCAATAAACACAGGGGACAAGCAGGGAACCAACAACAAGAAAATACCATGACAAAGATAAGCCAATACATATCAGTTATAACCATTAATGTAAGTGGCCTCAATTCACCAATCAACAGAAATAGACTGGCAGAGTGGATCAAGAAACAAGATCCAACAATATGCTATATACAAAAAACACACTTAATGCAAAAAAAAAAATCATAGACTGAAAATCCAAGGATAGAAAACAATCTTCCATGCAACTGGAGCCCAGAAAAAAAGCAGAAGTAGTTATTCTTTTCTCAGACAACTTTAAACCAAGAATGATCAAGAGGGATAAAGAAGGTCACTACATACTTGTTAGGGGAAAACTTCAAGAGGAAGAGATAACAATCATAA